ATGAATTATCGGGAGACTACTAGATTGGGGGTAGTCTGTTATATATATATATATATATATAAGACGGTCACAACGTGACGGAACAACAGGGAATGAGTAATTGAATGTATGCGGACAAAATATTGTTGGCCACGTGAGACGTGAATTATAGTGTTTGTTATAGAGCGACTGTTGAAATTAAGTGTATCGTAAAGTTGTATTCGGAAAGAATAAACCAGTTTTATTTAAGAAAGGACTTGTGTCGCTAAAGTTTCGTCGGAACGAATTTACGGAAAATTAACTAACGAACGGAGACGTAACAATAAATATATATTTTTCAGAAAAGTTACAGTTTAACCGCTGAAAGCTAGTTAAATATTGGAAAACCAAGAAATGTTATAAATCTTTCGTTTTCTTTATGGATGAAAGAAAGCACTTGCCTTGCTTAAATTAATTTATTCACACAGAGTGCTTTCAGTTATAAAAATAAATTCGTTCATTACTGATAGAACAGATTAAATATTAAGACAATTAAAATACAGCGAAAATGGCTTACAGAAACGTCTGGTCAAAAAATATACAAGTTTTCTTAAAAATAAACTTAATTTTTAAATTTAAAGTGTTTCAAATAATTAAAGGTGTGAGTGATAGAACTTAACGCCTCTTGCCTGCAACGCATCATACTCTAGCATCTCCTCAATGGCGTCCCACTCAGCGCCTTCCACGTCCATCTTCAGGACATCTATCACCTGGTTTTCATGTCTTAACCTTTTCATGATGGTTTTTAATGTTCTCATCTTCCATAATGTTCTCATCTTCCATGCTGACTTTTCTTCAATGTAAAATCTGTAAAGCAAATAAAATAAAAAATAAAAGTTTCTGACCTTGTCTTGTGATTTAGAAGAAACACCCCAAACCCGGTTTAGATGGAACAATGATAGTTCTATCACAAAAAACCCCCCCCCCGAAAGTGGCGCATCGGTAAGTATTAAAGCTTATAATGCTAAAAACCAGGTTTCGATACACGTGGTTGGCACAGCACAGATAGCCTTTTGTGTAGCTTTGCGCTAAACTACAAACAAACTATCATAAGAAAGACAGTACACACAGGTTTCATGGACTACTAAAGCTATCGAAATGTCAATAATAGAAACTCATGAAATGACTATGTAATATTATCAGTGTAAACACTGAATTCTTTATTAATCCACACTGTGTTTAGTAAATTTGTTTGTCCTTGAACTTTTCCCACGGATTCAGAACTAGCAGGACCAGACTTTTCAAGGTGGACAAGGATGGCTTTCTTTATATAGTCAAGCTCCCGTAAAACAAAGGGATACCACAGAGGGACCTAAAATGCGGCTTGGAGATGGCCGAGTAGTAAGTTTTTAAGGTTTTTGAACAGAAATCTGGCGTCGGATTCTGTGTTGTTCTGACCCCCACCCACCCATCTCTGGATCCAGAAAGTGGCACATTTGAAACTTTATACATATCCCCATTCACAAGCTAGGGGGACCGAATGAGGGATTTATTTTTGGGTACGTACTCACTCCCCTTGGGTAGCTATAGATGTAACTGGGGATAAAGGAGGAGCTTGATCGATACTTTGGATTCTCTGAACACCGCAACGGGGCGCGAGTATCTTGTATTAATATTCATAATAAGTAGAAAACAAAATGGCGGACCTAATAGTAATTGAACTCTAGAAGATGTATAAAATGAACATACATCCCGACGGCAAACTCTATCCAGATAACACTATAAACACAAACGTCAATAAAACGGAATAGGTCAGTTTAAATGAAGTTATTTTACCATGGCAACAGCTGCTGCTACCGTTTCTGTATTGAATGAAAAAAAAAAAGAAGGTTATGATGTATTAGAGTATTATTATTACACTCTTTGGCTATCCTGTACATCAATGTGTACATAGTCAATTAATCATTATTTTCAATTGAGCAATGATTTAATTGTTTCGGATATTTATGCCAAACTACACCAGCGCCCTCTATACTAGGCCTCCCTAATTTTGAGCTGCTAGACTAGAGGGAAGGCAGATAGTCATTACCGCCCACTGCCAGCTCTTCGTTTATTCTAATCTAATGAAGAAAGTTCGACTCGCAATCTGAGGGTCGCGGGTTCGAATCCCTGTCACACCAAACATGCTCGTCCTTTCAGCCGTGGGGGCGTTATAATGTGACGGCCAATCCCACTATTCCTTGGTAAAAGAGTAGCCCAAGAGTTGGCGGTGGGTGGTGATGACTAGCTGCCTTCCCTCTAGTCTTACACTGCTAAATTAGGGACGGCTAGCTCAGATAGCCCTCGTGTAGCTTTGCGCGAAATTCAAAACAAACAAACAAACAATGAAGAAAGATTTGACAGTCTCTGTTATAACGCACTCACGCAGTATCTGTTTGTTGTTGATGTTTTTCGGGCCGGGGGGGGGGGGTAACACGACGCGAATTTGGACGCTCAAATCCCAGCCAATCACGCTGACGTCTAGGCCATGCCCAGTTTGAATGAGCAATACTTAAACTGTTATAATTTCCCTAGTTACGAGTACTCCAATTTCATCAGCTTTTATTGGTACTGTACATTGGTTTTATGATGGTAACAGTTGTTATAAAGTTCGCTCCCACTAGGCTTATCCTAATACAGTGACCTCTAACGAAACAGCCAGACACTTGTTAGTTTTGTTTTTAAATCACTAAATGAAATGTTATAGAATGAAATTCAATACGGTCTTGCTTTACTTCCTGTTTAATAAATATTATTTAACATTTGTAGCCTTTTTTCTCAGTTTTGTTATTCGGCCATTTCGACAATGCAACAGGAGTTGTTGGTTAAGCCTGTAAGTTTTTCTGATTACCTGTCTTCAAAAACTGGGCCGCGTTGCACTAAACGAATGTTCGATTTGTTACGGGACCATTGTATAAATATTATACGTTAAAACTAAATTAGAAGAAAACTATTCAATAAAATCGCTCATACAATACATCTAGTGATTGACTAATAAACTCTTTAGACTAAGCGCGAAAAAATTCACGTCAGAGATATTTTCTGAGTCGGCCCGGCATGGCCAGGTGGTTAGGGCGCTAGACTCGCAATCTGCAGGTCGCGGGTTCGAATCCCGTCACACCAAACATGCTCGCCCTTTAAACCGTGGGGGCGTTATAATGTGACGGTCAATCCCACTATTCCTTGGTAAAAGAGTAGCCCAAGAGTTGGCGGTGGGTGGTGATGACTAGCTGCCTTCCCTCTAGTCTTACACTGCTAAATTCGGGACGGCTAGCGCAGATAGCCTTCGTGTAGCTTTGCGCGAAATTCAAAACAAATAAATTTTCTGAGTCTATCATAATTATCATTATTGATTAAATTAATTTCATCACGACAATCTATTAAAGAATTATCAATTTTACTTGAATAAGTGAGAGTTTGAATCCCACTGTTGAACATACTCGTCCTTTCAGCCGTGGTGGCGTTATAACGGGTAGGTCAACCCCACTATTCGTTGGTAGAGAATCCCAAGAGTAGGCGGTGGCTGTTGCTAACCATCTGCCTTCCCTCTAGTATATCACTTTTAAATTAGGGACGGCTAGCGCAGATATAACTCTTGAATAGCTTTGAGCGAAATTCAACCAATAAGCAAACTTTGTAACGGTAGTTTAAATGAAAAGTGGCCAATCGAAAGTTGCTTCTGTTGACAGGTTGTGCGCTTCATTGGTGGCTTACCTGTCAGTATTCTCTCCAGCGATCCCTAGTTTGTAAAACCAAATGTTTTGGCTGTATTGATGGTCTTTTACGTTCATGCTAGGGTCGAAAGCAAATACCCGGCAACCAAACCGTTCCATGTCCTTTTCAAATGACCATTCGTCATTTATCCTGTAATTAAAAAATAAATAAAATATTCATAAAAATGTCAATTATACTTTTTTAACTTAACATTACTTTCTTTCTGTAAAATGTAAATTCGTCATTCTCCATATATTACAGCAAACAGCCAAATTGGTCAGTGCTAAGCTCGCCACGTGCACCTCCACTACAGAAACTGATAATGTTCGAAAGGTATTGCAAAAACGCACGTGTCCATAAGATGAATGACTTCTTTAGGATGTGCAAAAAATTACTCAAACCAATAGGTCAGATAGTTAGGTGAAGACTGTCACAAACCTAACTCAAATATTCGCTACTAAGTATTCCCTTGGAAATATATTCATTGCTGTAGTCCCGATAATATCGCATCAGGTATTGATTGTAACAAGCGACCTCTAACGGTCGATGCGTATTTCACCTTTAAGAATCACATTGAGTTATAGTTCAGTATCTTGCCACTAAATTTTCCTTAAGATCATGATGTAATGATGATTCCTTAGTTAATGATGTAACCAATATATTGTTAAATTAAAATACTTGTCTATAAGTCGTATACTAACTATTTCTTCATTACGAAACCTTACACATAATTAAAATTAAGACACACATTCAGAATATCCAGAATAAGTATAGAACTGATCAGCCACATATGTAACAGTGCTCGATATGATAGAAATCTGTTTTCTTAGTTATTTTCACAGGGGGGAATTTGTTCCCCAATTCAATGAAAGACCAAACATGTTGATTCCGTCACCATCCTAATATCTCAGTAGATAGACCTTCTGCTATTATAAAGTACTAGTTTTGTTATCAGTGTTCAATTCACGGGTTTCGATAACCGTGGGGGGCAGAGCACAGATAGCCCATTCTGTAGCTTTGTGCTTAACTTCAAACAAACAACAAAATTGTTCTCTCCAGGTGGCACGCCTTAGGCAAAAAAAAGTATAATACGTAATAGCATTGCCAAGGACTTAAAATGATATTCGTAAGCGAATCGTCTTAACCCAACCATCCTCAGAAAAAATACAAAAAATACACAAAACAGCTGCTTTTACATTTATGTAGTTCCTTTTTTTTTTTTTTCGTTTTGAGCACTGATGAGGGTGCACAACTACACAAAGGGCCATCTGTGCATCCTTAATATTGAACTGACAGACTTAACTGGAAGTTAGCTAGTCAACAACAGAAACTGCAAATTATTGGGCTTATCTGGCCGAATAGTGGGATTAGCCAGTTATTCTTATAACACAAATACCGGAACGCGTTTCTTCAGCAACTGAATGCAAGCCAAGAATCCTCAGATTCACAGTTCGAGCATGACATCCATCATGAACCATGACTTGTTGGATATGTCAAACCCAAAAATACTTTAATCCTTAATTAGCACTTTTGCAATTTGTAGCTAAATTAGGCATGAAAATGTGCTTATCGTATGTTATCTTACAATTGTTCATATCAAGTAAATACAATTCTAATAAGGTCCGTGGGGGCGTTATAGTGTAACGGTCAATCCCACTATTCGTTGGTAAAATAGTAGCCCAAATGATGACTGGCTGCCTTCTCTTTAGTCTTTCACTGCTAAAATAGGGACGGCTAGCGCAGATAGCTCTCGCGTAACTTTGCGCGAAATTCAAAAAAACAATTTTAATAACTTTGTCAACAAAAGTATGATTAATAATGATATTACAATTTCAAATTTAAGATTTTTTTTTTTTTTTTGTCCTAATTACAAACTAAGTTATGGTCACTGTTTTGCTAACTTCTATGGACCTGTCATGAGACACTATAGTATCCATATCACGAGAGTATATGATTGCACTATCAATCAGACAAGTTACATAATTTCTTGAAATTATAACAATCGTTTTTTTTAATTCTTAATTAATATCATTTCCTAAATAACTCCCCTGGTGGGTTAGCGGTAAATTACGGACTTCGTTTTTTCGCGGAGAACAGGGTCCATCTAGTGAGTAACTTTGCACTAAGATAAACAACAACACTATCCCTAAAGAGCAGAAACTTGTAAATAATATCGTGTTACAGCCTGTATTGAGCGTAAATAGCTAATGATTAACATTCCGGACTTTGAAACCGAGGGTAAACGGTTTGAGTCCCGTTGTCACAAAATCGTGGTCCGCACTTTGGGGTCATCAGTTCATTGTAAGAGTGACGTTCAAATCACATAATTCGTTTAGAATTAGCGATGGGTACTGTTCACTGTCTAGAGTGATGGGTACTGTTCACTGTCTACTTCCCCGCTAGTCTTATCAGTTCAAAATTATGGATGTTTAGCGCGAGTATACAAAATGCACACACACACACACGGTGCCGTCAAACTGTGTCAATTCAGTTACGGACCAGAGTCCACTAACTTCCGGATAGTTGTTACAGCGCCCTCTGTAATAAACCAAGATAATTAAGCTATTTCTTGGTAGATAAAAAAAAAAAACTCTTAAGAGATGACAGCTCCTATAAGAGAAATTACAATTACCACGTTCTCTTTATCCGTGGTTCGCGGGGGCGGACTGTGGATCTAAAGTTCTGTGGTTCGCGTATCCAAATAACGTGACAGAAATTTAGATAAGAACCAATCGGCATTAAGTATGTCGGTCGCCGAAAAGTAAACACCAGGGGTGCTCTAAGATATATTTATCTTCCTCCGCCCCGCTAGGGGTAAAAGTACATTAATTATAGTGGAGGGGTAACTTTGGACGCTATAAATAGAATATTTTAAAGCGTGAGGTGGAGTTTCCAGGTAAGGTTGATGAGTAGACGAGAAGAAACGGTACGACAATCCACCAACTTAAGAACGACCATGCACATCGGTTCGCGCATCGTTAACGCAAAATATATATATTGCGCTCCGTAATTTATCGTGGGTGCGTAATAAGGGTGACAGTCAAATCCCACCATTCGATTAGAGTGTCCCACAAGATGGCGATGGGTAGTGTTGACTAGTTGCCGTCACTTAAAAATCAGGAGCGGCTAGCGCAAATATTTGAGTAGTAAGAGTGAAATTCAAAACAAATAAACCTTTCATCCCCGCTCAAGATATATTTTAATGACAAAAAAGAAACACGTGGGTTATTAAATAAAGACATTCTTAGTGTACCAATGAAGCGACAGATTATTACATATATATCTTAAGGTAAACCACTAAATGTTTGATGACTTACCCGAATGAGTAAACAGTACAGTTTGGCCGAAGACCTGGACCAGGTGTTAAACAGATCACTTTATCCCCGTCAATTTTATCTTCTTGAAGTGGCACTCCTCCGACGGACAAAGCAGATTCACAAAGAGTAGAAGGATGCCGGATGTACGTCTTCAGAAGCTTATAGTTATCTTCGATCTCGTTACCTTAATATAAGAACACAGAAGAAAGTATAAAAACTTCGAAGTTCAATTACGAGAGTCCGTCTGATTCGTGGTAGTTATTTTGGTTAGGTATCTTTCAGGCCCTAAAGGGGTCTGGAAGATAACCAGTGGTGGTCAGAAATAGCTGTTTCTCTTCATCCTACTTCATGACCAATGGATAAGGACTTTTGAAAAGCGAAAAAAAAAGAAGCTGCCAACACCAACTTTGCTTTCATTCCCAAACATGCTGATGAAAACTGTTTCTTCTTTCTTTGAGAACTATTGTAAACATAATACAAAATCCTACAGAACAATAACTGAAACCTTGGAGATCAGAAGCTGTAGATCTTAAAAATATTTGCCCGAATTTATTCGCATGTTATCATGTATTACAATAGACAATAAAAAAGCAAAATAAAACACATGAACTCATTGCTAATAAAACGCTCGACCTGAAAGGGGTTAAATTTATCTACCTTTCGAAAATTGATAATTGTTAACTCAGAGTAGCAGATAATCAAGCAAAACGTTTCTAGCTTTGAGATACAGCTTCGATTATTGACACTGACTACATGTTAGTATATTCTTTAATTTTTTTCAGCATGGTACGTTGAGTAGTACAGATAATTATTATTATTATAATTCTCCAAATGTTTATACATGCAATATAATGAAAGACTGCCGTTTTTCTCTGAGACGTGTCCCCTGGTATGTTTACGGACTTAAAACATGAAAATCCAGAGTTCAATTCTCCGCGATGGACAGAGAGCAGGCAGTCAGTCTTGTGTAACTGTACTAAACCAAACACACCAACCCTCTGAAACGTCAACTCGTTGATTCATGATTTGACTTCTGAATATTTCATAATTGATAGCAATAAATAATCAACCATGATTTTCTTCATATTTTCAAGCCCAAAAGTTTTTTGTTTTTCTTTTCACATTACATATTTTATATTTCTTTATTATAACTGAATTGGAACAGGTTTCTTACACACAAATATAAATTTCATGTGTGACCTTTTAGCTTTAGAACGTTCGTAAACATGGAATGAGGACAAAAGTAAACTGGTTGTAGTATCGTTTGTTTTGTACAGTGAAAAGACTTATCAGTACAAGTAGTAAAACCAAAATGAATTTAAATTACTCTAATTTGCAAGATTTGAGAAAATTAAAAGGCAATCTTTCAGTTGTACGTTTCACATATCAATAAATAAAGTTGAGGATGTAAATGATGGTACAAACAAATGTATTTTTTTACGTTAGTTTCTTTATCTGTTTTGTTCTACACTATAAAAAAAAATACTTTTGTATGTTTACACAGCAAAAAAATTATGTGGGAAGCCGATGCAATACTGAATAATAATTGTTTTGTTTTATTATAAATAACTGCTTTTAACCCTCTCTTCCTCCCCAAACTACCCTTTTTACGGAATAGTACTTACTCCAACAGTATACATTTTTTTTTTGTTCGTTTCGTGATAATCTATATACATTATTTGTGTAATTGTCATTTTTTTACACATATAATACTTTATAAATAATTAATAAAAATATCACTATTTATTAAGAATTTGTTTATATAAATAAAAGACATCATATAATCTCACCTCTTTGCTGTAATCTTTGCATCTTGTGCTCTTGAATAAAAAATAGTATACTATAAAACAAGCCACTTGTTAACACAAACGTAGCCACAAATGATGCAACCTTTTTACCGTTTACAGGAATCGACAAGAAAGTACAACGCTTCCTAGCTTTTTCTACACACGATGACATTCTTCGTAAGCTAACAATAAAATAATGATGTACACGATACTGTTGCAAACAAAGTTGTTAAACTAAAGATGCTTCTACTGTGAACTGTACACTAAATGTTGTGCATTACACGTAGTTCTAGAAGCTAACAGTACCACCGACACATATATATATCACAACAAGAACACCGAGTAAGTAGATGCTTCAGGTCTGGCTTGACCTTTGTATAACGATAAGGCATGTTAGGGTTATTTCAAAGATGCTTCCTGACCTACTTTAAGCTTTACTGAATTGTATTCAAACAGGAACGTCGACTTTTCTGATTAGATATATATAAACAGGTTTTGACCTCCTATCTAAACCTTCAGCCTCCCCTCACTACACAGATAACCGTAGTGTTCAATCTGTTGATACTCAACTGTCAACATTTTGAGCGTGCCATTATAAAGCAATTCTTAAAATAACGTAATATAACTGACTATTTGTATATTTGGCGGTTGTAAAAAAGAGCTTAAGTTATTATAAATAAAGTGACTTTGTTTGTTTGTTTGTTGTTAAGGCGCAAAGTTACACAGGTGGTTATCTGTGCTCTGTCCATCGCGGGTACGAAGTTTGTTTTAGAGCCACATTGTGTTATCGGCTACGTCCACCGCGGGGAGGGGGGGGGGGGTCGGAACCCCCGGATCCTAGCGTCGTAGGTACGTAAACTTACTGGTGTCCCACCAGGGGGCGCAGGTATCGAAACCCGATTTTTAGAGTTACGAGGCCATTAACTTACTGCTGTCCCACCTGGGGACCGCAGGTATCGAAACCTGATTTTTAGAGTTATGAGCGCGTAAACTTACAGTTGAACCTGAGCGAAGCACGAATAAACTTTAGGCGGAGATGAACTCAAAAGTTAATACTTTCGATTAAATGGGGAAATCATGAGCAATAATATAGTCAGTAAAATTGGAAATATTTGTGAAAAAAACTTTCTGAAAATTCAAATGATCGATATCAACAGAAATAATAAAGGTAACACACTATATGTTCCAAAATTCTACATTTAAATTATTTTTACATTATAATGTTACCCTCTTTCTTAATCTCGATACTCTGCTAAAATATGTGACACGCGCAATCAAGATTTCAACCTAATAAAACATTAATTAAATATGCACTACCGGCACTTGTGTTTAAATTATAATAAATAATTAAAAACAACGGTTTATAGTTACACAATAAAAACTTTATTGAAGCCGTAAAACTTCCACTTTAAAATATCTCTACAAGTACGTGTTTCGACGTGATCTACGTCATCCTCAGGAGTAACTTACAAGACTACTTATACTTTCCCCCTTGTCGCATTACTTCATTGTTATTTACATATTTCCATTAAAAAATATATTTATATAATGCATCTCGCTATATATCAATGTATTGAACTGCTGGACCTTCATCTTTATTTAATACTTGTTTTTGTGTGTGTATTTCATTATTTCTAATGTTTCTCTAATATTTAATGATACAAAACTTCGAGGCTGGGCTAAAACGAAAGTTGTTTCCCATAATATTGCATGTTGGGTAGTTTTTACACGTTCGGCTATAGCTGAAATTTCTATTTTATTACTTCTTATGTAACTTTTGTATTATTGCAATCTATATTTTAAATTTATTTTAGTTTGACCAATATGAACACCACCACATTCACATTCTATCTTGTATATACCTGTCTTATCTGTTAATTCTATTTTGTCTTTAGCATTCCCTATCATATATTTTATCTTATCTATTGGTTTGAAGATAGGGTAAAAATTCTGATACTTTTTGAATACTTTATATAATTGACTTGTTAAATCTGGAACTTAAGGTAAACTTAGAGTTTCTTTTTTGTGTTTTTCATAAGCAGATTTTAATGTGGTATTTTTAACTGAACTTGCATTAACTTCTCACAAGCTTTGTCTACTATATTTGGATCAAATCCTCTATCATTAGCTATATACTTAATTAATAACAATTTGTTATTTAAACCTTCCTGTCTTAAACATATTTTTAAAGCTCGAGAAAGATATGTATAAAATGCTGATATTTTTGGGGTTTTATGACATGATTCTTTGTGTGGCGGCATAACAACAGCAAAAGGTTTTATATAAACTAATGTTTCTAAGTTGCCTTCTTCCTTCCTAACTAATACGTCTAAGAAATTAATGCTATTATTATCTTCAATTTCACACGTGAATTGAATTGATGGTTCTTTACTATTTAAATAACTAAAAATTTCTTGTAGTTTGCTGTTACCATGTCGCCACACCACGAATGTGTCATCTACATATCTTATCCAAACTTCTGGCTTAAATTTAGCGTTATTTAAAGATTCATTTTCAAAACTATCCATAAAAAGGTCACATAAAAACGGTGATCCCATAGATAAACCCTCTTTCTGTTTATAATAATTTTGATTTACTCGGAAAAATGGATTATCTACACACCCTCTTGTTAATTTCAATATATCTATAATTTCGACTGTTGGTACTCCGTTTTCTATTAATTTATTCTAAAAACAACTAATGGCGTCATCTAGTGGTGTTTTAGTAAACAACGATATTACATCAAATGATACCAGTAAGTCTTCCTTTTCTAAGTTCAGGTTTTTAATTTTCTCTACAAATTCTATAGAATTTTTGACTGTATATTTGTTCTTATTTCTCAAAAAAAGAATACTTGCGTGTTATAAATTTTGCTACTTCAAAGATGATGAACCTATATTTGATACTATGGGCCTAAAACTGTTATTGTTTTTATGTATTTTTGGTAATACGTAAAAGCTTGGTGCAATAAATCTACTTCGTACTAAATATTTTTTTCTCTTCAGGAGTTAAAATTAGTTTAAAAAACTTTAATTTATACACAGGTAATATTCAGGGTATCCTCAAAACTAAACCAATAAATGACACTATTTTTCTCTTGTATTTTATTACAACTGTTTCCACTTATCCCTCTGTATATTAAACTAGTGATGCTGCATAATAAAACATTTTTATTTTAGAAAAAAACTGTTCCCTCTTGTGTATTAACTACATAAAGTTAAAATAATATTTGCCAATACCGAGAGAAAACTAAACTGCCAATCATAACGGCAAATATATATCTATGAAATACATTTCTTAAAAAGTTTTTTTTTCTTTCTTTTTATGGAGTGTAATAAAACGTTTCGTTATTCGGCAAAGTTAAACTTGGCATTTCATAACGCTTCTCTTCGTTCTGTCCAGAATATTTCCAGATCACGCAACTTTTGTGGAAATTCTGATCACGAAGTTAGCACACAGGATCACATACAAAAGTTGTCCTGGTTTTCTAACCTCGAGCGTTTTCGAATAGTTCACTGTTCTTCTGGAGTACTCGTCCCCCTGGACGGAAGTTATGTAAATTCATGATTAATGAAAGGTTATCTCAGGACATGAAGAGTTGCTTCCCTTACAGGTAATTGTAAAAAACGCAAAAACACCCATAACATCTTTTTTTCTTGTTAAGTGCAAAGCAAAGGGCTATCTGTGCTGTGCCCACCACGAGTATATAAACCTGGTTTTTGGCTTACCACTGAGCCACTTGGGGTGGGGTGGGGGCTTCTATCATAATGATACACTGAAAACCATTTCAACTTTATGGAAAGATACTAATGTGTTATGCCTTGTGATGTAGACCATCAGTAGTAGGATGATAATATCTATTTATGAAACTTCATTGGATTGGATAATAGTGATTGACAGTGGGTTAACTCAGTTGGTAGAGCACTTGCCTAGGGAATAGAAAATATTGGATTACTACAGCAGAACCACTAATCCATCAGGGGGAAAGTTTAAAACTAAATACACCCCCCTCCCTTTTTTTTTTATCGCACCCAAGACTCATTACCATCATCCTTGAAAATTCCCTTTCATTCCTCTCCTGACGTGAATTGTAATTTCTCCTGTTCTTGCTAGAAGTGAAGAAAAAAAAAAGTGAAGGGATCCAACGGAAGGGGATAAAAGAATCCAGTGTTACTGATAGAGTGGAGATCAACTAAATCTAGAGCCAAGAATTAGTTATAAGGGTAAACAGGTGAACCCCAAGAAAAACCCACTCACTTCCACATGGTCAGGCACAGAGCCAAGACGTAATCTTGAAATAAAATCCGTTACTAGATTAATAAATGTGTGTGTGTTTAAAGTGTCTTGGTAATTGTTTCTGTGTTTGAGGTAATGATTGTTTTGAAACTGGTGATGATAAAAGGTTATTGTTTATTATGATAAAAAAACTCTTGTTTGTGTATTTGATCAGAGTACCCGAAACTTTGGGAAGGGGGGAAGACGTGTGTTTATAAATTGTATGTTCTGAGTGAACACTAACTTTAGGGTTGATTATATATATATATATATATATATTGATCTGTATTGAAGCTCGTGTCTGTTCATAAAGAATTTTTTTTTCTTTCAAAAATAGAAACATAGAGCACAATTTTCAAGAAGTACAAGAAAGAGAAGAAATTAGGTGTGTTTATTTCCCACAGCAGAAACATGGTCAGCCAACTGAATCTCAGCTACATAGGGTAACATAACTAAAACCTTTCAAACACAAGTTCACTGAAACACAAATGCACACACACTTTCACAACGTTCTTTCTGAGTTTGGTGACATTGCCCAAAGGGCACCAGAAGACACAGAAGGTAACAGCTATGAATTTATGAAATCTAAGTTAAGCAGACCTGAAAACAAAAACATTTTGGGTGAAACTATAATTACTTTAAAAAACCCTTCTTTTGTCTCCTATTATAAAAATTAAACAAGAATTTTATGATACTCTTTCTAATGATCAAAAAAATTATTTATTTTTTAAAGAAGGAAATAAAAACAGAGGGAACTGACATCTTTTAACAGCAAATACTGTAACTGATTTAATTTTTAGTAATTAGTAAATTTATTTATTCATCTTTCTTTTCAAACAGTTCTTATATCCAATATTAGCACTGGAGGTTTTTTCGAAAATTTCATGATATTAATGAATTTATCATAAACTCACACTTAGCCCTGCAGTTCGTTAAGGTTGTAATATGAAAAAAAAACAGGGAAAGCTCAAGATTCATGTTTTATACAAAGACTTCACGAACAAAAATCTGAATTAAAATAAACTTACATTAGAACAATAAGACTTTCTGAGAGGGGAACGAAATCAACAGCAGATTTATATGTAAAAAACATTTACTGAACTCAAATCATTATTTTCTGGTATAAAGTGAGAATTTTGTTTTTTTATAGTTGTCTGATGACTCAAATATAAAGCTTTCTAAAGTTACATTTCAAACATGTTTAGGAATATCAAACAATGACACAAGTGAAACAAGAAGAGAATATCATGTAAGCTTCTCCAAAACCAATATGAAGGCTAATAAAATAATCTGCTCTTTGCTAAACGAATTGTGATGCTGTTATTATGAAATGCTATTGGTCTTTCTGTCTGGTAAATTTAAAACTCCCGTCTGTGGTACTTGTCAGGATCAAAGTAGGATGTAACAACAACTCTGTTGGCGAACTTTCTTCCTGTAAGATTTTGTTGAGCTTTCTGACAGTCGATAACAGAGTTGAACTCCACAAAAACCTGAAAAATGTATAAAATTTAGTTTAACATTAAGTATTAAAGACAAGAAATCAAATATATCATGAAAGAATCCAAATTATAATAATTTGATTAAAAACAACAAATGAAAGTGTGGACTGTATTTGGTAGTACCACCTCTCAAACCATGTATCTTTCAATCTGCAGCTCAGTACACTAATCACAAAACCAAGCCCTGGCCCAGTACTACTTTTAATTGATCTGGAAATTCATCCAAAAAAAAACGGACCATTAATAACCTTAAAGCTCAACTTATTTAATTGAAAACACAAATATCACAAAAATGATAAAACTAAAGTAAAGCAAACAATTATCTCTTCTAGTTATGACCTTTGTACTTGGTTGCTAAGCCTTTAAAAAATTTGCACGTGGAAGATATGAAACAAAT